CGGGACGTGGTCGACGTGGTCCGTGGTCGGAGCTTGGCGGAGCTGCTCGGGACGTGGTCGACGTGGTTTGGTGGTCGGAGCTCGGCGGAGCCGCTCGGGACGTGGTCTGGTGGTCGACGTGGTTGGACCGAGTAGTCCAGGTGATGTCATCCTTATGCCTCTAGACGGCCGCGACGTGATGTCCGGGTGGTACTGAAGATGAATTGTTGATCCTGGTGATGATCTTGGCGGAGTCCAGGAAACTGGGCTAACCCGCAGTAGCAGTACCTCACGTGCACAGCAAGCTGGATTGTTCTGTACGTGAAACATGCACACGTACATGCATGATTATCCTGCATGCCTTTTTCAATCTTGCTCTTTCCTTATTGGCTTGCAATCAGCAGCGTTTGGTGCCATCGTTGCCCACGTGGAGCCGTGGCGGCGATGAAGGATCTTGAAACACGAAGACATCCGTGGCCGGCCCCAACAATCTTCGTGTTTGATCCATCTAATTGTTGCCGGAGACGTGTTGGCGCAGGACTCGAAAGTCATGTTGCGCGCGCACCCAGTAAAACCGTGTGGACGCCGAAGTCGAGGTCGTCGGCGACGAAAGCAGTCCGCGATGCACAATGTCGAGGGACGCTGGGTCGTCGCCGACGTCGTTGATCTTGAGGTATATATGCCACCTGGTTCGTCATGGATCAGCACACACACTACCTACCGCGCGCTTTGTTGACGAAAATATGGTCGGCGGTCCACCGAAGTGCCCGTGGTGGTAGATTATCGGTGACGGTCGCGTGTAATCGGGAACCGATGGTGACACAAGGCGCAGAGAGGCAATTTAGACAGAGTTCGGGCCGTCTGCAGTCGACGTAATACCCTACGTCCCCGTCTTTGGTGTATTGTATTGAGATGTATATAGATTAACTTTTGTCCTCTAGGGGACCCTTGTCTCTCCTTATATACTCCGAAGAGACAAGGTTACAAGTAAAGTATCCAATCTGGTACTATTACAATATCTAGTACAACTTGTAATCTTGATGTGCACACCTTGATCTTACGGGTGGGGCCACCTCGGACGGTGCGGCCCATGTACCACCTTATGGTACCCGGGGGTATATCCCCCACAGTGCCCCCGCCTCCATCTCCTCTCCCTCATAGTGCAGCGTCCCTCCCTCTCCTCTCTCTCTCTCTCTCTCTATCCTCTCCCTCCGACTGCGCGGGGCCCTCCCAGGCGAGCGAGTGAGGGGCGCGGCGGACAGGGCTCCTCACCCGGCTCGGCGGCACCCTAGATCCGGCCCCGACGGCGATGGCGCGGGGGATGGGGCCTCCTCCCCGGCTAGATCCGGTGGCAGCTCGGGGGAGCCACCTCCCTCCTCCCTCCGGCGACGGCGCGGATCCGGTGGCAGCGCAGGGAAGCCACCTCTTTCCTCCCCTCGGTGGCGGCGCGAATCCGGTGGTGGCGCAGGGAAGCCACCTTCCTCCTCCCCTCGGCAGCGGCGCGGGGACGCCGGATCCGGTGGCGTCTCGGCAAGGGGACGCCCCATCCGGCTCACGTCGGTGGCGCGCGGGGATGCGGCGGCGGTGGTGGGGCCGCGCGGAGCAGGCGAGCTCAGTGGTGGGCTCCGAAACGAGCTCGCCGGTGGGCTCTGGGCTTTTTTGTTTTTTAATCCATTAATAGAGGCGGGCATTTACAAGGCGCCCGCCTCCGTTAATCGATTAACCGAGGCAGGCAAGGCAACCGCCTCCGTTATTCACGAATTAACTGTGACCTTTTGACGGAGGCGGTTGTCTTTGCCCACCTCCGTTAAGTTTATTGTAGTGGTGTGAAGGCCCCAATTGACTGTGCTGTGTTGCGTGAAGATTTGTATTACCCTATTGATTCTAGTGGAAATGGCAGGTTCTATCTTTTTGGTCGTTTGATAAGAGGAACGACTTAGTAAAGACTCAAGACCTTTGTTATATCCTCAACAATGAGAACACATACACACCTTAGTAGGGTGGCTGAATCTCATGAAAAATCCTTGTGTCTTTGTGTTCTTATGCTTGTTTTTTTTTGACCAAATGTTCTTATGCTTGTGACCCTTTGCCCTTTATTATTTGAACCCAATCTACTTGTTGTGAAGTTCTAGACCGAAACTATCTCGTGGAGCATGTCAATACACTTATCTACATATGTGGTAAACATAGATCTAAGTTTCCACGTCAACACACTTCTCTATATGTTATTCCTTAATAAAAAAAAGTTTCATTGGTTAAATTCATAGATCGAGTAGATCTTTCCTCTCGGGCCCGTAGAAATTCCGGTTACTAAAAGAATTTCTGGGTAGGTCCAGAATTTTCAGCACTACTTGTTAATCCGCTATAAAGTTTTAAAATTTCAGATTTAGCCGATTCAACCTCTTTTTAGATATCTATATTTCAGATTTAGCTAAACCTGAGTAGTTTAGCATATACGGATTAAGATTTTCAGCCATTGCGCACTCCTTGGCGCCAACGACGTCTGCCACGGCGACATGTTGAAGTCGTTGGCGTTGCAGACTTGCAGTCAATGGTCATGATACATGCTAAAGTCGTTGCAGACTTTAAAGCACTCTATTCGCCGGGAGAAGAGACAGCACGTGGACGCTCCACTGCAGGCAAGCGGGCGTCGTCGGACGCGGCGAGCTGTGGGGTCAGGCGGGCGACCAGCATGACAGTCTTCGCGGGCGGGCTGGCGACCGACCCGGCGCAGTCTGGCAGGCAACCGACAGTCTACGCGCGAGCTAGGGCGGGACGGTCTACATAAGCAGGCAACACGGTGTGTTTGCACTTTGCAGCCTCTAGCACGCCCCGTCAGGACCTGTTGGGTAGAGCTCTCGCTTATCTGAAAGTAGTTTCGGCTCTGGCTTATATAAAGGAGCAGCTTTTCTGTAAGAGCTGAAGTCGTTCTGAAAAACGTTTGGTAAAATGACTTCTTCGTACTAGACGACGTGAACCCACGGCAAGAAGCCACGTAAAGCTCGTTTTTAAGGCTTCTCCTGCGCAGGCAAAAAATAGCTCCGGTTTTTGACCAGCTCCCCATGCAAAATCTTTTCCAAAATAGCTCCTACAGGAAATGAAACTGAAGCCTCTACCGGAGCCCTGCAAAAAAAAAAGGCTCTGAGTATCGCTGGACAGAATAAGGGCAACACCAACACCCAAATTCACAAAGTCCTCCCTGGTAAGATTTACGGGCATACGCAATTTTCACCGAGACCAAGGGGGTATTAACTCTGCGTACGAACGGTTCGGATATGTGGATTTCTAAGAGCCTTAGAACATTCTAAAAGCTAAAAAAAAACTTCACAAAGCCAAAAGTCAAAAACTCCTTAAAGTCAGCTTTTGGAATTTTAACCCGTGAGAGCCTTTTTAGCTTCTTGATGATGCCAAAGGTGAAGTCTTAGAGCTTCCAAGAAGATACCGCTTCCGTTCTAAAAGGACCGTTATTTTAAAAATGAATCTGAATAAGTGCTTGTCCAAATTCGTTGTTTTAGAATGAAATTAGACGAGTGCTTGTCCAAATTTATTTTTAAAACAACGGTATTCTCGAGACAGAGGGATTAGTATACGCTACAGAGACAGAGATTCAGTTTTAGTGCGCTGGGTTTAATGGTTTATCCGCTGCGGTGGCCGATCCAGACGGCAGTGGGCCTTTCCGCCGGCGACAACGACGTTCGCTCCCGCAGCGGCGGCGGCAACGGATACCCCTCCCGGTGGCGCCGGAGGCTGCTCCCGGCGGCGGCCCCTCCCAGCAGTGCGGCGGCGCCCCCTCCCGACGACGGAGTCCCACAGATGGAGAGTCCAAGATTCTTCAACGAGATTTTTCCGTATGAACAAAGCGACCTTTCCTGGGTTCCCGATGGGTAAGTCTTCTGCCATTGCTTTTCCCCTTGGTTATTGCAACTTCTAGGCTCGGGTTTGCAAAACAAATAGCACTATTTGTTGATTCTGCTCCAATTCATGGCCTTGTCTGTGTAGGATGGATGTGGATCCCATTTCTCTTGCTACAGGCTTGATGTTCATGTAGGTGCTTACATAAAGTTTACTGATGATAGCAATCGTGAGTACTGCGATGCATGTAGCATTCCTATAAATTAGTACTGATTTATAGTGTCTTTTAGCAATGGCAAAAAAAATTAATGACCTATGGCAAAAGTCACCTTTGAACAGTGTCCACCAGTCAATTTTCCCTTTAAGAACTAGATGGGGATACTATAATCAACACCCTTGCAGTCTCAACCCCTTGCCATTCAGGGAAATACAAAAGAACACAACACAAAAGTCCACATCGGATCAGACTTAGCACAAAAAACCACTGCCAATGAGACACAAACTACTTCTGTCAGCGACGGAAAACATAATTAAAAAAGCAGCAGCATGTATCATACATTCATGCTCCTAAAACAAATTGCACGGTCAAAAACAGAGGCAGCTTGCCTTCAGGCGGGAAAAAAAAAACTATGTACTGACACATAGAGAGACAACCGAATGACATTTAGTTTTTCCCTAAATTAATACTCTCCATATCAAAAAAGTATAAACCCTTTGTTATACTATGTATCTAGATATAGCGTATATTGAGGTGCATCCTAAAAATATATGTATTTAGAAAAGTCAAAACTATTTATAGTTTGAAATGGAGGGAGTAGGTAGGAAGCGAAAGCGAAAGGATGTAAGGGAACATATTCTAGACAGTTAATTGCTACGATGATTCCTGGACTTGACCCAACAGAAATCCCAACAACGACAGGATGCAAAGACTTGCAGTATGTCCAAGTCAATGCACACACAAGGATATGACCTAGTCTGGAGTCTCTGGACCTCCAAGTCAATGCACACACAAGGATAGGACCTGGTCTGGAGTCTCTGGACCATACAATTGCCCAGCCATCTTGATGCTCCGCATGGAGTTCGTTTACATAAATCCTTTGTCCTTCCTCAAACTCAGGCATAGAAGGCAAGTGCTCCACTGAGTTCAGTTCAGACAGCTCTTCCAAATCATGCCGCTGCATAGATTAGCTGCGCATCAGCTATGGATCGGCATAGTGGTTGTAGCAACACTCTCTGTAGTAGCCATAGGAGCACTGCTGCCGCCTAGGCCTAGCAGCAGTTGCCAGAGAAAATGCGGCGGAGTCGACATCCCTTACCCGTTCGGCATCGGGCCAGACGACTCGCCCGACCACTGCTCCTTGCCCGGCTTCAACCTGAGCTGCAAGGACGACGGCCATGGAGTCCTCAGGCCATTTTACAAACATGTGGAGATTCTGAACATCTTGCTGCAGCAAGGTCAGGCCAGGATGAGGATGCACATGTCGACGTACTGCTACAACACCTCCACTAAGAAAATGAACCGAGACTGGTGGTGGGTGAACCTGACAGGTACGCCCTACAAATTCTCAAACACCGGCAACCTGTTCACGGTCGTTGGGTGCAGAACGCTGGCGTACATCGGAGACCAGGACAACGTCGGCAAGTACATGAGCGGCTGCGTGTCCATGTGCCGACGAGGCGACGTGAGCGCCCTGGCCGACGGCTCCTGCTCCGGGATCGGCTGCTGCACGACGGCCATCCCCAAGGGCCTGCAGTACTACAAGGTGTGGTTTAGTCGGGGCTTCAACACGTCCGGGATCTACAGAATCAGCCGCTGCAGCTACGCGGCGCTGGTTGAGGCGTCCAACTTCACGTTCTCCACGAGCTACGCCACGTCGTCGGCGTTCTCTGACGCTTACGGCGGGCGGCCGCCGTTGCTGGTGGACTGGGCCATCGGCGACGAGACATGCGAGGTAGCCAAGCAAAAGCCTGGCGGGTCGTACGCCTGCATCGCCGACCGCAGCGAGTGCTTCGATTCGGCCAACGGGCCAGGCTACATCTGCAACTGCTCCAAAGGGTTCCAGGGGAATCCGTACCTTGTCGACGGATGCAAAGGTAACAAACCTGTGTGGCTGTGTACATCTACTAGCTATCATTTCCAGAAGATTAATTACCCCTCCGTTCCCAAAAAATAAGTAATCCCTCAGTTTTAAATTGTAAGTCATTCTGGATTTTTTCTAGATATATAGTTTAGACATAATATTTATCTAAAAGCGTAACAAAAGCTATGTATCTAGAAAAGTCATAACGTCTTACTCCAGATGCACATTAATCGATGCAATACACTTGCCACTTGTCCTAACTACAGCAATGATTGATGGACAATATAGTCATTATACAACATGGTTTAATTATTATGTCTAAGTCCAAATGGACATATATTAATTTGTGAAATCAGAGGGATTAGTTAGCTAGTAATCATTGAGATGGAAGAGATTCGTACCTACAAGCTGCTACAGTGATACCTGATTATGGGACGCACGTTACTGAAACTAGTAGTAGTACGATTTTACCAGAAAATTTATCAAAACTAAGTCTGTTGCAAGATCTAGTGACCTAATATAAAATTAGAGTTGCTGAATTCGTGCAATGTTTTTATGTCCTGGAAATAATATAGTTCCAATATAATGTAAACTTTTACTCAACACTTTATGTGCCACTTCTATCATTGCAGATGTTGACGAATGTAATGTCGACGATCCGGAAAAGTACCCTTGCTCTGAGAAGGGAACTTGCAAGAATACTCCAGGTGGATATGAGTGTAATTGCCCTCCACATCACCCCAAAGGCAATGCTTACAATGGCACATGTGAGAAAGACCAATCGATTCCCCCTAAAGTCACAATTCCAATAGGTACAACCCGTATCTTTCCTCTTTCAGTTCATTTAAATTTACATTTTGGAGAGCATGATTGAAAAAAAAAATACTGTCATGGTGTCGACTTCGAGAAGCAACTGAATGACAGAACTGTAAATAATTTAGACAAAGTGCATACCGATTGTTGTTTCAGTCAATTGTTCTGACCATGGAGTAATTTCAAAACACTATTTTGCAGCCTACTACCGACTTACAAGTTACATACATGTCTGATCTGCAGGAATTTTTGCCTTTGTTTTGGTTGGCCTACTACTTTTCCTTGGTATAGAATGGATCAAGCACAAACGACGAATAGTAAGGCAAGAATACGTAAGCAAAATGAATAAATGTTTTCAGCAGAACGGAGGCCAATTGCTACTAGATATGATGAAAGTAGAGAGCAACATTTCATTTCAGTTGTATGGCCGAGAAGAAATTGAGTTGGCCACCAACAACTTTCACAGCGGCTCAGTCATTGGAGAAGGTGGTCAGGGAACTGTTTATATAGGGCAAAATCTTGATGAAAAAAATAATCCTGTTGCAATCAAGATCTGCAAGGGATATGATGAGAGTAGGAGAATGGAATTTGGTAAGGAGCTGCTTATACTCTCTCGAGTAAAACATGAAAACATTGTCCAGCTTCTAGGTTGCAGCTTGCAGTTTGAAGCCCCGGTTCTGGTGTATGAATACGTACCGAATCAAACATTGCACTATCTAATTCACAGCCAAGATGATGCGTCCATCAGAACTCTCAAGGTCCGTCTAAAAATTGCCAGTGAGATTGCGTCTGCACTTGCATACCTACATTCACTTAATCACCCGGTCTTCCATGGAGATGTTAAGTCTGTCAACATTCTACTAAGCCATGATCTCTCAGCAAAAGTTTCTGATTTTGGATGCTCAATGATTAGGTCAGGAAATGAAACCGCCCAAGTAGTGAAGGGCACAATGGGCTACTTAGATCCAGAGTATCTGATGAATTTTGAGCTTACTGATAAGAGCGATGTTTACAGCTTCGGTGTTGTTCTTCTGGAGCTCCTAACACGTAGGACGGCACTGTCCAAAACAAAGGAGAGCCTTGTATCTATCTTCAAGGAAGCTGTGAAGGAGGACAAGCTTTGGGATCTCATAGATAGGGAGATAGCCAACCAAGAAAACATGGATATAGTACTTCAGGTGGCTGCGGTGGCAAGTCAATGCTTGGTCATTACTGGTGAACACAGGCCAACGATGAGCCAGATTGCGGAGGAGCTCCACCAATTGGCCGGTCCAATCCCACACAACTCTCGAGCATTTCACGGTGTTATTAGCATGCACATGTTGCGAGGACGGTCATCGAACAATACATCGGATTACAGTACTAGTGAAGAAATCACAACCTACTACAATCTTCAGAAGAAAGCCTCAATGAGCATAGAGTTTGCAAGATGAAATAAAAAAAGCATCCATGCATCGATATTTATTGCCGCATTGCAGACATAGTAATTGACTTGTACTACGTCTTGTGTAGGTTCTGATGATGTATTCTGCAGATATGATGAAGCTATCATAACTGAGTTTAATTTGTCAAAATGTGTTATGGTGATTTTTTTGTGTGAGTTTTCTTTAACAAACATATAGAGATGCACAAGTGTAATGAAAAATATAATGAAACTTCTGTGGGTTCCATTAGTATTTCACCGTTGCCGCATGTCATTTTTTATTATTATTATCACGCGGTCTATAGGACCTTTCATTCATTTCTGTAGACTTCGCAAAATCGCGAGCCACCAATTCGGAGAGGGTACGCCTAAACAATGACCTGACCCCAAGTCCCAACTCAAGGCTAAACTAGCCAAAGCATGCGCAAGCGAATTGCAAGAACGTGGAACATATAAAATAGACGAACAGACAAGCTGTTCATGAAGGAGATCACGCAAATCTTGGAACAGCATCCCACCCGTTGCTAGATCAAAAGATGTAGACTTGAGCGCTTCTTGCAGGTTAGTAGAGTCTTTTTCTAGTTGAAAATGGGAAATCCCGTGATCAGGTGCCGCTGTGAGGGACATTCTGCATCCCAATGTCTCGGCCATCACTGACTCCAATCTGCCAGCTCCAGCTAGCACCCTTTCACCCTCATGGTCCCTGATGATAAAGCCCCAGCCCCCAGGCACCTGACCTTGATTGTATCGTGCAGATATGCAGCAAGTATTGATTTTTGAGCTTGCCTTGCGGGGGCGGTCTCCATGTCTTCTCCTTCGTGCACTCTCTTGAAATCTGCATGATCACTCCTTCACTCTGATCACCAAGGAGTGTATATACAGTTCGATCTGGCCACGTCCCCACTCGTCTGCAATTTCTCCCCTGCATTGACTTTATTTCTCACATCCCGCCACTTCCGTAACAAGGTCACTGTCTTGATGCAGACTTCTTTCTTCAGTTCAGCGGTTGTCTCACCACTTCCTGGACTGATGTTGCTGATAGTTGATAGCAGATGTTGTCGGACATGCTCCAGTTGTATGGGTCTATTTGATTTAAGGGCTAATCGCTAGCTCGCTCAAAATTAGTCCAAATTAGCTCTAGTGTATCTAAATGGGAGGGCTAATAGGAGCTATTTTTTAAACAATTTTTCAACTAAAACTAGTTGTTAGCCAACTATTGTTTATTTGGACTAATTTCTAGTCTATCTAGTAACTAGCCATGTGTATGTCAAGCCAACAACGTCTAGTTTCTTTGCATTTGAGGAAGCAAAAGTGCACAGCGCATGTCATATTTACTACTTTTGGATAGCCCGCTCCCGTCCGCCTTCGCCCTGACCTTATCCGCCTTCGTCCCATTCCCCCAGCGCACAAGACCACACTGCCTCTGCGCTTCACGGTCGCCTGACCCCCCTCTCTCTCTCTTGGCAGGCAGCACTCAAGAGCCGGGATGAGCAATGAGGAGACGAGCATGCCCCAAAGACGCCTCATTGCCACCACCACCGCCCGCCAAAGCAGCCTCCCTCTCCCCTCCCCCCAGCCAAGGCATCAAATCCGCCGCCTTGCTCCCTTCGATGCATCATAAAACACTTGCAACATGAAAAATATTTGAATGCAACATACGTCTGAAAATAGATGAAACATTTAGAACATGCACTTGCAACATGTGTGTGAAACAAACAAAACATCCAGATTTGCAACTTGCAACATGAAAATAATTTGCTGCAACATAAGACTGAAACAGCTGAAATATTTAGAATATACTGTTGCAACATATGTGTGAAACATATGCAACATCCAGATAAAAAAAAGATTGCAACAGACGTCTAGAAATAGATGAAACATTTTGAACAGACGCTTGCAACATGCCTCTCAAATACTTGCACATGTGCAACATCTCCCGATCTACTTTTGTAACTTCAAGAATAATTGCAACATATATCTGAAACGTTTGAAACACTTGAAACATACATATGCAACATAGGGGAGCGAAAGTCGGGCCTGTCGATTCCGACTGTCGAGTTGGGAGTCGGCGGCGAGCCGCGGCGCGCGAGCACCACCGCCACCAGCCACGCTCGTGGGTGCCCTTGGCTTGGCCGGAAAGACCTGAGGCGCCACAGCACGTTTGCCCTAGCGGCCATGGCGGAGTCAGCGGCGCGGCCAACGGCGATGGGCGACGGACGAACGGCGAGGGAGCGAGTGACGCAGGTGAGCGGAGTAGGGAGCGAGGGCGCGCGACGCGGCGGGTGATGGGAGAGGGCACGGCGCGGCAGCCCGACGAGCGCGCGCTAGGAAGGGGCCGGACGGATGAGCAGCCATGCTGAGCGATGCAGGTAGCTCCCATGTAGGTGAGCGGTGCGGGGAGCGAGACGCGGCGGGTGATGGGAGAAAGGGCACGGCGCGGTAGCCGACGAGCGCTCGCTAGGAAGGGGGCGGATGGATGAGCAGCCATGCTGAGCGACGCAGGTGGCTCCCATGTAGGTGAGCGGTGCGGGGAGCGAGGCGCGCGGCGCGGCCGGTGACGGGGAAAGGAAGCGGTGCGGCGCGGCCGGCGATGGGGAAAGGAAGCGGGGCTGCTGCCGACAAAGCGCGCGCGGGAGAAGGGGTGGATGGATGAGCACAAGAAAATGAAGATTTGCTTTTTTTTTTTGGGGCCCACTCGTCCGGATGCAGTATTTCCGTTTTGGATAGTGTCACGCGGTATTTTTAAGTTTTGTCCAAATATACCGGGGAAAGGCAGGCCCGGCCCATGGTTCTTGTAGGGCTGGACTCGTAGGAACACGAATCTGAACAAATTCACACCAGCCCAAAATAGTTTTCGAAGATATAGTACTTTTCAACTGGCACATATGGTCCGATCCAAAACCAGCCTTACCCTGCCAGCGAACGTTGCTAGACGGCCTGAAAAGTTTCGTGCTTTTTTAGGCCTAGCCCACAAGATGCTGTTGTACTGTATCCACGGCGCGAGCACATGTGTTTTCCGCCGGGAAGCACTGGGACAGTCCAGCCTGTCATGATAGCTGTCCACTGTCTTCCGTCCACACGGAGCGGACGTAGCAGTTTATTTTCTCCATTTCTTCAGCGTTCCAAAGAATTTTTCCTGCGTTTTCAAAATTTCTTGGACGAAATGAAGCAAAGGAAGGACGCCATCAGTCGAGCAAAAGCTGGTCGGCAGGAAGTTAAGAAAAGTTTGAGCAATGCCTATCTTCTCCCTATTCCCTTTTTGTCTAATTGTCCGCGGCCGAAGAAAATATTGGAGCACGCTATCCCAGCAAGTCAACGAGGCATTTTCCCCCCGAAAAAGCTAACTTACGAGCGCGCACGCGATCGAGCTCCAGCGCGCACACCCCTACGGCCGTCCGATTCGCGCCCGCATCTTCTTCCTCACCGCGCCCGCACGACCGACTGCGCCCGCACCGCCGCCCTTCTTCCCCAAATCTGACATCTAGGGTTCCGGCGACCGGCTGCCCACCCTTCTTCTCCAACTCCGGAGGGTTATAGAAGGGACGACCAGGGGGAGGCAGGTAGGCCAGGCGGTGGGGAAGGTCGACGGACGGTTTAGGGGAGCTGGCAGCGGTCGGGTGCGGGGGCGCCATGGCTGGAGTTCACCACAACAACATCAGACGAGTTCACCACAACAGCATGAGGGAGGGAGGGGGAGGGGAAGGAGGAGGTCGCCGGCGGCGGGAGGTGCTGGAGGCGGGGGCTTGCCGGATTGGAGGCTAGGGAACTCGCGTGGGCGGGGGTGGTGTGGGAGGCAAGTCACCGACATGGGAGAAGAAGGCTAGAGCGGGGGAAGAAGAAGAAGAAGATGCGGGGTGCAGGAAAACTAATTGAAGGTGGGGGGAAGATGCGGTTTTGGGGAGAGGAGGCATGCATGAACACTAATTATCAACTCCGCGTAAGTGCTACAAAGTAGGCTGTAGTCCAAACCTTTTTTCAACTTTACATAAGAAGCACTTTACGCCCTAAATCATTTCATAGTGAGCATTTTCTCTGTAAATTTATCTGTTAATTATAATCCAACAATGACAAAGAAAACCTGATGCTACTTCCCTCTTTATTGTTTGAATCTAGTTAGTTTAAAATTCCAAATGTTAAAGATGGAGATAATGCATACTGCCTTCACCCCAGAAATGATGTAATCTATGGTTGATCCTAAACACACTATCATAGATTCAACTAATCTACAGAAAATACTATTGGTATTTATGAATCGAATAGATATACTGTGAAAATATTATATATGGCGAATCTAATGTTATTTAGTTAGTATGATATATATTAGTATCATTATAACTTTATAATCAATCCATTCCAAGATGTAAGATATCTTGGTTTTCTAGATACATTGTTTTTATTAGGTATTTAGACATAGTGCATATCAAAATATGTATATGTTTAAAAAAAAAAGTCAAAATGTCTTATATTTTAAAATAGAGGGAGTATAAATTTAATTAAACTCATAATAGTTTGACTTAGCAATATGCTAGAATTACATCATTTTTAGAATGAAGGGGTATAATTTAAGGTGGGGTCACAACCTCACATAGTATAAACACTCGGTTGAAAAGAAAGTCGGTTTTGTCTTCTTGATCCCGGTTGTTTGCTTTAATTTATCAGCTTTGCTTATCAGCCATGGTATAATATTTTTCTCTCATAATAAAACAGTATCAGAAGCCGCAGAAACCATCAACCAAAAATTTGTGAGGAGAATCTCTAGAGAACAGTTCCAATAAAGTGCATCCTTAGCAGCAAAGCACCTGAATGAAGAATATGTCTTCACGGACCAAGAACTAGGATATCACACATTTCACACTAAAATCATTTGCAGCAGCAGCAAAAAAAAAAAAGGCAAGGGCAAAATGCGGCGGCAAGAAGCAAGCAAGAGGGGCGGCAGCAGTGACCAGCGACCTGGCACGCCGTTCGCCACCGCCCTTAATTTGGCAAATCATAACGTAATTGTCAAACGGGGGTTCCTGCCTTTTTTCTGTGGCTGCAATCAAATCCCCTGGTCGTCGCCATGAGTGCCTTTTAGCCGAGGAAACCACCCGACGCTGCGTTGTTTCTTGTTTGGTGGCTTCGATCACTGCACCGCCCACCCGCTTCGTCCCGTCGTCGCCATCGCCGTCCGCCCGCGCTCCCCCGCCACCGCCACCACCACCGGAAGAAAAGGGAGGCAAAAAAAAAAAAAAAAAACGCAGAAAAGGAGGAAATTTGACGGGAAGCGCGGCATCGTCGCCGCGGTTTGAGAGGGCTACAGCGAGGGCGAGGTGCCGCCAGCGCCTTCCGGCGTAGGACGCGCGCGCCCGTCCCCGGCGCGTAGCCGCCGGAGCTCACCGGCGTTGGTGGCCGCCGCCTTGGGCGGATCACGCCGGTGTGGCCGGCTCGGGTCGATCTTTCCCGTTTCCCTGGTGAGGAACCCTTGCTTTTTGATTGGATGGGATATTCTGTTCTTCGGGATCTGTCTTCCCCCCGAGGGATCAAATCAAAATTCCACCTTTTTAATCCCCGTACTCATTTGCTGCGTACCCGGTGGTACCCTAACAATGCGAATTGCTCGCCCATTTCTGGTTCCATTAGGTCCTTATTTGTCACTGCGCAACTTGATCAATCCATCTCGCATATAAATGGGGAAATTTTGTAGCTCAATCCAATCTGCCCTTTTGCTGCAGGGACCAGGGAAGGGTATACAATGTGTGCTCTTGATGATTTGTCACAACAATCCCCTTTACTCGATTATTAGCAAAAGCAGACGCTGGGGTCTACATTAGACAGCAACTCGGTCGCTGGTTGTCTCTCAGGAGACGAATGATTCAGCACTGGGACACATCCACAATTTGGTAAAATTGGCATTACAGAGCCAAGGGGATGCGCATTGACCGTGTTTTGCCTTCAAGCCTTTGCTGCTGCTCAGCGAAGAGCTTCTGGCACAGCAATCCTTCCTTTTTGTTCTGTAATGAATGAATAACCAGGTTGTCTACCAAGATCTGACCAATGTTCTAGGTCTGAGTAGGTTTGGCTCTGAGAACCTTTCGGATGTCTCAACTACAGTTTTGCCACTGAAAGGTGATGCTATGGATCCTACAAATTTGTTGTATCTGAAGACTGACCCATCTGAGAACGGACTCAAACCGGTTGAAAATTCAAGCGACAATCTACAGGATATGGCTTGTGAGAGCCCCCTTGCTGGAAAAGTCAAGTTCATGTGCAGCTTTGGTGGGAAAATCTTGCCTAGGCCAAGTGATGGGAAGCTCAGGTATGTCGGTGGGGAGACACGTCTCATCTCGATAACCAGGAACTTCTCGTGGAATGAACTAGTGCAGAAAACTCTCACGATCTACAGTCAGCCTCATATCATCAAGTATCAACTTCCTGATGAGGATCTGGACGCACTCATTTCTCTTTCGTGTGACGAGGATTTCCAGAATATGATGGAAGAATACTGCAGTCTTGAAAAGGCCAAAGACTCCGTTAGGCTAAGGATATTTCTTGTCTCCCTCAATGAATGTGAAGATTTGTCATTGGACACAAAGAGCTTGGAGAGTGAACCAGAGTATCATTTTGTTGTTGCTGTGAACAATCTTGCACATTTGAGCAGGAGCATAAGTGGCAACAATTTAATGAGCCAATCGAGCCATCAACTGGATCCTTCTCCACACCCCTTTAGAGACTCACCTGTCTGTCAAATCAATACAGAAGTTGGAGCCAAAGATTCTATTGGAGCAACTCTTAATGAGTCTTCCTCTCAGTTTTTCCTTGCTCCATACACACAACAACTTGTGGTCGAGTCGTCAACAACTTCGTCCCCAAGTTTAGGTCAGCAGAGGACCATGAAACAGTCTAGGATGCAACCCCCTGCAGATGAATTGACAACAAACCAAGAACATGTGAATAGAAGTGAAATTTGCAATGGCCCAAATTTGAAAACCATGCTTCCGGACCATCTAGATAAGAAGCAAAATGATACAGACATGGGTATTGGAACTGGATCTCCCATGCAACATCTCCACATTCAAAGGCAGGTAAAAGGTTTGGCTGGAAATGGTATTGACTTGATTCCACGTACCAACTATGATGTTTCTACTCCAGCGGAAGCATCCTTTTATTCTGAAAAGGTCACCATGCATCCAGAAAATGAAGGATGGGCATCTGGTCTGCAGGAACACACTGGCCAAATTCTAGGCATGCCTCATGCCTTCTCCGATCCTTTGCTAAACAATCTCAATGAATTACCTGCATCGAATTTGTCATTACCTGCTGGTTCCTACATGACCCAATCATTTTCCCAGAAAATATGTCAAACTAATGAGTTGGAGAGAACAATAAGTAGGACTGGGCCAGCTTTTGAATGTGTTAAACCCCCTGACATTGCCTGTACAGATGAATCAAATTACCTTGTTTCTAATCATATTGACCAACGGTACAATCAAGGAATTATTGGTCCAGCCAGTTCACAGCCACCAGTATATTACCAAGATGAAAGTTTGTCTAGTAATGTGACACAAAAATTTCATGATGGTGATCATGTAGTTCAACGACAGGATACGTTTTTTCATCAGGATAAAAGCGCAGGTCCAAATGTTGCTCCCTGGAACAATTTTGTTAATACAGGGTTAATTTACAACGCACATGGTGCAAAGTTGTCCTCAGATGATTTGGATGCTCTAGAAAGTTCGGTTCCAAAGCTGATGCATGCTACTGATCATTCCCTTTCATATCTCCTTAATGTATCCCAAGGAGGCAATTCAGAAAGTGGATCACATGTAGAGAAACTGAATTCAGGGTCTGTTACTAAAGATTATGGAACTACTGGCTATGTGCATGGAACTGATAAAGTTGCTCCAGAGCCTCATGTTCTGTTGCCTATAAAGTCTTCTGAAGCTTTTGTCACGCAAAGATCAATGGGCAATGGAGAATCTGGTGTATATCAGAATGATAATTTGCACAAGTCATCAGTGCATAGCCCTGGCTTGGCTACCTCTCTACATACTGGGCTGATTGATACTAATCCGAGTATGAACTTGCACGGCAATGGTGGCCTCTCTTTGTCTTCGTCTCAAAATCCAGTTGTGGATGGTGTTTCTAGGAGAGAGGACCCCCTTTGTGATTGGGGCAATATCGCCTGCAGTGAAGGAATCATTGGATTTGACCATACCACCACCAATAATGAACACATAAAGCTAGCACACAGGCTGCACGATAATGTTCAAATGAATGTACCTGTCATAGTTGAGGACGTGACTGATAATGTACCTTCAGGCATTCCATCATCCAGACCAGTTGTTCCTCAGGTTGTAATGGCAGCTGAAGAACAGCAAGAGGTGATTCTTTCGTCACAGAAGGATGATGATACTAGGAGTGATGCGGCAGAGTTAGCTAATGAGGTATACCCTATATTTATATATTATTATTCATCCACATTGATGTTTGAGCATCTCGCATTCATTGTTCCAAATCTCAGGATCATGATGATGGAGTTGCCGATGGGTCCATTAGTGATGCTGTAGTTGCTGAACTTGAAGCCAGCATGTATGGATTACAGGTGCAGCTATCCCATGCTCTAAATTTGTTCTTAAGCAAGATTGCTATCTAATTTACAAAACAACATTGTCATGCTTTTTATCAATGACATGCAAATGATAGAAACATGTGGTCGTCGTGATTTGATGAACAGATCATAAAAAATGGTGACCTCGAGGAGCTACGTGAACTGGGATCTGGGACATTTGGAACTGTATATTATGGAAAGTGGCGAGGAACTGATGTTGCTATCAAGCGCATTAAAAAAAGCTGTTTTGCTGGAAGATCATCTGAACAAGAGAAACTTGTAAGTATTGTTTCCTTTAATCTTTTTAATCATTTGATCGCTTCATCATCCATGCAAAAAAGGGACACCAAACAGGAAAACACTGACAATAAGGTTGATGTGATTGTTGCAATGGATACCTTTTTATATATTATAACATGCATTATTATTTTATTTTTTCGATTTTAATGTTAAAACTTATTTTTTCCACAGACCAGTGACTTTTGGAGGGAAGCAAAGATTCTTTCAAAGTTACATCATCCAAATGTTGTTGCTTTCTATGGTGTGGTCCCTGATGGAACTGGAGGAACACTGGCAACTGTGACTGAATTCATGGTGAATGGCTCACTGAGGAATGTTCTTTTAAGGAAAGACAGGTGGGTCTTGTATCTTTCTGTTGGATGCTTTCCACTCTGCACAATGATGTGACTGTTTACTAGATCTGTGTAGAATGCTTGATCGTCGGAGAAAACTTACCATTGCTATGGATGCGGCATTTGGGATGGAATACTTGCACTCCAAAAGCATAGTGCACTTTGATTTGAAATGCGACAACTTACTTGTTAATTTGAGAGATCCTCAGAGGCCAATTTGCAAGGTAGGTTTGGTTCATTAAGAGCTGGGGTGAATTATTAGGAGTTTGTGTTCATTCCCAGTGAACAGCAAAGTTCACCTTGGTTTGGCCTTCCAGCTCTCATGTCGTTTGAACTGATACATTAATAATTTGTTGCTAATTCTTAGGTTGGGGACTTTGGGTTGTCAAGAATCAAGCGCAACACTTTGGTTTCTGGTGGTGTACGCGGCACTCTTCCATGGATGGCACCAGAGTTACTGAATGGTAGCAGCAGCAAAGTCTCTGAGAAGGCAAGTTTTTTCCACCACACTCCTGATCATTCCTTGCATATGCAACCATGGCTGCTTGATATGTAATGAGTATGTGATACACGCAGGTGGATGTATTCTCCTTTGGGATAGTTTTATGGGAGATCTTGACTGGTGAGGAACCGTATGCAAATATGCATTGTGGCGCTATCATAGGTATGTATCCGCAATTCCCATCCAACCTTTTGTTTGCCTTTCAGCATTGATATATTTCTCAAATGTTTTTTTTCCAAGAATGTCAGCATTGATACTTTTAAGGAAAAAGGAAGCAATCAAAATACAATTTGTCATTAGTTCACACTCTCAGCATCTGAAATCTCTTTAGTCTTGTTGAATCCTCCATTTAACTACCATTATTTGTTGCGCGAAGGCGGCATTGTCAATAACACTCTGCGGCCTCCAATACCTGAAAAGTGTGACCCCGATTGGCGAAAGCTGATGGAGCAATGTTGGTCGGCCAATCCTGATGCCCGCCCCTCATTCACTGAGGTCACCGACAGGCTACGAGCCATGCCACCAGTGCCTTCAGTCGAGAGGACAGGCTCCGGCGAACAGATGAAGTGTTATAACATCAGCCAGCAGGTTATTTAACTGCAATGGGCTGGATCAACAATCAGATTCTGTACTGACCCGCGAGGCTCCTATGTGTGCATAGAGTATATATATATACATGTACTTACTATTGGTCATGGTGTGTATTCTATCCTGACGTAAATACGCTTCTCGTGTACATTTTTTGGACCCCATGCTGAGGGTTTCTGATGTAATTACATGTATCTGAGTGAAGAAAAAGTAGCGCAGGCGGGGTGTTGTGGCCTCACGTTACCAATTTTGTGTGTATAGGTTGTGAGGGTCTATCAGATGGATGTGTAGACCACTCAAGCTTTTTTGGGGGGGCCATGGGTTGTAAAAATATGAGCTTGAAGCTTGTAATTATGTGTAACAGATGGATTGTTGACTATACTGGCCAGCATGCCACATTTCAAACTTTGAAATTGGGGAATACATGGCAACAAATTCGAGCAGCCTGTGGCTGTGCTCTGGGTTTGAAGTTTGAACAGGCACATGATACAAACTTAGTTTGAGGCCCCTTTTGGAATGCGGGAAATTGTCATGTTTCCTGCATTCGTTTTTCCTATGAAAAATGAGCTAATTTCTATGAAACTTATGTATAATTTCTATAAAATTCCTATAGATAGATCAAGACTAATCTCGTTCAGATGAGCGTACTCAGTGCAGAGAGCTTTCGCTTTGTGCGGGGTTTGGGAATGGTGTCAATGGCAAGTCTTACCCTCGCATATGCAATGCGAGGAGACTGCGACTCGAACCCAGGATCTTCTGGATCACAGGTGGTAAGACTCTACCACTTACACCAGGCCTGCCCTTCCCTTCTAATCTTGTTCAGATGCTGTACGCAAAATTAATCTGGGTGTGGGAACAGCCGAACAGGAAACTGGGAACTTCTTCCCAAATTCAACTGGCTCATTGCAGTCCCAAATGGTAAACCCCCGTTCAGATTCAGTACAACCACAGAAGCATGCTGAGAAAGGGCGAGACTGCGTTCGTGTGACGGTGTCGGTCACAACGGATAAGGTCAGTGTCCGTCCATTGGATTGTTGGATATCTGGATCTGAGACTGCTGACTTGGTCCCGATCCCTCACCGCATTTCCTGGCAGTTCCTACTGAGCTGAACAAACGCCTGTTTGTTTGGGTTTATTTGACTTATAAGTCATATTTTTTCAGCTAACAAATAGTATTTTTCTCTCACACTAAATAAATCAATAATACTTTCAGCCATCGACTTATCAGCCAAACAACACCGAAACAAACGGGGCAAAAAGCGCTGGCCGTGCGTTGTCGGCGATGGAGCCAGTGTCACCGACATGAACGTGTACCTCGGTCACCGTGCTACTCCATGCTTGGACGGTGGATTCATGCTGGGCCCTAGCACTAGTTTACCGAGACAAGCCCAACGGGCAACGGCACTGTAGCCAGTCCTAGTTTAAATCGGTGGTCACCGACGTTGGATGCCACTGCTTAGTGTTTAGTGCTTAACCAAACTCTTTTAGATTTGTCTGCAAAGCCAGTGAAGTGTTGCAACTGAAAGCTGAATTTTTTACCCTTCCTCTGCATTGGTGTGCCTTGGTGAGGGAATTACCTAACAAGTATGTCCACGATTCCATTGGGAACAATATAAGTACCTCCAAATGAAAAAGAATAAAGAAGAAAAAGGTAAATCATATTCGTTCACACTAAATATAATGTGTTTTTTTAGATGCTAAATATGATGTGTTTTTAGGATCCTACTACCATTCCGGCCTTTTTTACCAGCTGCCTTGACGGGTGACAGCACGAATCTGGGAGCACACGCGTGTCATTAGCATCTGATTAGTAGGCAGTAGAAAGGTGACAGACGATAGTGGAATAATGGATAACTGGATCACCAGCTATAGATCTAGTATATATACTGACATCTGATTAAATAGTAAACCCTAGAACATGCTAGTGTGAGAAGAAAGAGAGAGAGAGAGAGAGAGGGATTGTGGAGGTGCAAACCATCGCCGCCTTTGTAGAAGACGAGCTTGCCATGGGGTGCTTGTCGGTGGCGCGGTGAGGTCCGGCGGTGAAGTCGCGGACGCAGTGGCGGCGATGCAGAGGCGGCGGTGGCAGGTGGCGGTCTTTCCGTCGTTGGCAATGCCCCCTCATTAGATCGGCTTAGGGTTTAGGGACTGTAGGTGGGACGTCTGGCGGCTCAGGTGAATCTCGTGCCTTGTGCCCCGGCCCTACCTCTCTTTTTATGACGCTGTGCGACGGGGCCACCAACCATGGAGCGGTTGGGCGCCCCCGATTAGGACGCGGATCCAAAGGCCCAATCCAATTGGTGGAGATCAATATAACATTCTCCCCTTGATCTCACCTTATGACATAAACTTAACTTACTTGTTTTATCTTGTTCTCATTCCATCACAGATCAGTGCATAGAGCATGTCTCATCATCACGGTCTGTTGCCATTAGATTAAACAGCTACAATGCACCTCTCTGTTTTGAAACATATTCTCAACTAGGCCCTTATTGTCCAGGAATCATAGGTTTTCCCTTAAACCCATGCCGACTAAGTGTTCTCTCACGTTGGGTGGTAGCCTTTTGTAAGCGGATCCACGAGCAACTTTTCTGTTCTTATATGCCCAAGACTAATTATATGATCCCGGACTTTGTCTTTCACAACATAATACTTTATGTCAATGTGTTTGGCAGCACCACTTTACTTATTGTTGTGAGCATAACATACTACTGGATTATTATCGTAGTATAGCTTGAGTGGTTTATGTATGTCGTCTACCACTTTCAACCCGGGCATGAATTTCTTCAGCCAATTCACCTGCCATATGACCTCATAACATACTACAAACTAGGCATACATTGTGGACGATGTAGTGACGGTTTGCTTTAAGCTTTTCCACGATATAGCTCCTCCTGCGAGAGTGAATATGTATCCTGACGTGGATTTTTGTCATCTCCCGCATAATCAGAATCTGTATACCCCTCTATGTGCAGGAAATCAGATCTTCTGTACGTTAGCATGAGATTTTCGTACCTTGACATGTAACGCAAAACTTTTTTTACTAATTTCAGTGTTCTATTTCTAGATTACTCTGATATCTGCCAAGTAACCCGGTAACAAATGCTAAGTCAGGGTGAGTACACACTTGAGCATACTGTAAACTTCCGACAGCTAAACTATATGGAACCGCTTTCATTTGATCGATCTCATATTGGTTCCTAGGACATTGAAATTCCCCATATCTATCGCCCTTGACTATGGGAGCAGATGAAGACTTACAATTTTGCATACTATATTTCTTTAGAACTTTTTAAGTATGCCTTTCATGGTAATCCTAAAACCCCATTTTCTCTATCTCGGTGAATCTCTATTCTTAGGACGAACGAAGCTTCACCGAGATCCTTCATATCAAACTTCAAGGATAAAATCTTCTTTGTTTCTAGTAGTAGATTAATATCACTGCTAGCAAGCAAGATGTCATCCACATATAGGACTAGGAAAAATGTATTTTCCATTCTTGAACTTTGCATAAACGTAATTGTCCTCTATATTTTCTTGAAACCCAAACTTTCTTATTGTACTATCAAACTTCAAATACCACTGTCTTGAAGCTTGTTTTAATCCGTAAATGGATTTCTTCAGACGGCATCCCATACGTTCTTTTCCTTCTACAACAAAACATTTCGGTTGTGCCATGTAAACATTTTCCTCTAGATCCCCGTTTAGGAACGCCGTCTTTACATCCATCTGATGTAATTCTAAATCGTAATGTGCTACAAGCGCCATTATGATTCTAAAAGAATCCTTACATGAGACTGGAGAAAATGTCTCATTATAATCTTGTCGGGGATCAATACTAGGGTACCCAAAGAGGAGGAGCTAATGACCATAAACATTGACTCATCCGAGCAGTCAAGAGCGCGACTACAGCTCCAACCGACCCTCGACGCACACACTCTGCTTCGCCCGACCTCTGTGGGAGGACTCCGCCTTGCCCGACCCCAAGGCCACGGGCTCCACCTCGCGCGACCCTTGGGTCTGAGCTCCGCCTTGCCCGACCCTTGGGTCTGCGCTCCGCCTCGCTCGACCTCTGGGGGAGGACTCCGCCTCGCCCGACCCCGAGGCCACGGGCTCCGCATCGCCCGACCTTGGGTCTGCGCTCCTCCTCGCCCGACCTCGAGGCCACAGGCTCCGCCTCGCCCGACCCCGAGGCCACGGGCTCCGCCTCGCCCGACGGAGACCCATATCGCCGCCAACTACTCCAAGTCCAAGCGTATGGGCCTGAGTCAAAGCTCTGACACTAGGGAAGAGACCGGCATGCCCCGATATACAGCCTATTCGCTTGCTCGTAAACGATCGTAAATTTCGAGCCGGGAACAGTGTTTTTCTCTCACACCAAACCAGCCAGCAGTAAATAATCCACGATACGATACGGCCTCCCGAATAGGCCGATAACCCATGGCCTTGACGGGCCATACCAGAGGATTCACATCAAGATCAGCGTCGGACGTACCGGTGTTGTTCTGCCTAACCCTTGTACGAGCACTGACGGGCGCGTCAGTTCACCACGACATTCGCCAGGACGGAGTGGAGCGCCATGACCAGCATATGACGCCTGTGCATGGCGCTAGTGACGGACAGGACCGCGACGCGAAGCCATCCCTATTGACATCTACAGGGTCGGCGAAACCCGCATGAAGGAGAAGAAGGACCCAGCGATCCTGAAGGCCTTCGGATCTCTCTCTCTGGTTCTTCTTTTTCCTCCGCTGTAACCCATGCTTTCCCTTAGCCTATAAAAGAGAAAGCGGTGTCCCATAAAGGGATCGCAACACATCACATCGATTCAGGCTAGATCCGATCGAACCATCATGAACCCATCGAACCCCGAACACATGGCTGAGTAGCAACCGAACTCTCTCAGTACCCGTTCACTCCTTTCACCGGAGACTTGGGACATATCCCTCTCTCTCCCGTTTGTAACCCATCCTATGAACTTTCAGTGTTAGTAACACGAGCAGAAGAATGAACTAGACGTAGGGACATTCTGCCCAAACTAGTATAAACGTGTATCCTCTAAGCACACCGTCCGAGCCAGACGCGCAATATTAGAAATTTACTCATCGGTGGCAACTCGAAACACCGACAAATCTATACCTTCTCTTTGCGTGAAGCCTTTTGCCACACGTCGCGCTTTGAATCTTTCTATATTCCCTTTGGAGTCATGTTTGGTTTTGTAGACCCATTTACAGCCTACTGTCTTTGCTCTTTTAGGAATTGTTTCTAAGTCCCAAACACCGTTGGTTTTCATTGATTTCATTTCATCTTCTATGGCTTCAAGCCACTTTGATGAGTGAGCATTTCTCATGGCTTCTTCAAATGAGGTGGGATCTCCCTCCATTTGATATTCATCATAATCATAAACTTCATAGTCCTCAGGAATGGCTGATCTCCTGACTCTTTGAGACCTTCTAGGGGCCTTGTTAGATGATGCTTGTTCTATATGAGGCTGTTGTTACTCTTCCTCATGTGTGACAATAGGTTCTATGGGATCCTGAACAACAGGTTCCTCATGTTCATTCATTGTTGCCACATGAGAACTAACAACAGGTATTGTTACTATAGTGTCTTGCACTGCTAGTACAACAACAACAGGTATTGAGAAGAATGGTTCCTGAACAAACCATCAGAGTGGGCACGTATACCCGCTTCCCTTCAAAATTAATTTCTCGCGCTACCATGCTCCCCCTGATCATATCATCCTCCAAGAACACAGCATGTCTTGTTTCTACAAACTTTGTTTGTTTGTCAGGACAATAGAAGACGAAGCGGTAACCTTTTGATTTTTCTAGATAGCCAATGAAATAGCAACTGACTATCTTGGAGTCTAGCTTCCCTATGTTTGGGTTAAAGACTTTAGTCTCAGCTGGACAACCCCACACACAAAAATAGTTCAGTGAGGGTTGCTTTCCTGTCTACAACTCATATGGTGTTTTGGGCTCCGACTTACTTGGCACTCGATTAAGAATATGAATGGCGGTTTTCAACGTCCCCATCCATAAATTTATTGGTAAAGAAGAGTAACTTATCATGCTTCTCACCATATCCATTAAGGTACGGTTGCGTCTTTC